TCTCTCTCTCTCTCTCTCTCTCTCTCTCTCTCTCTCTCTCTCTCTCTCTCTCTCTCTCTGTGTGTGTGTAGTCTCTGTGTTCATGTGTATGTGCAGGAGCACATGCATAGCTGAGTGGAAGCTAAATGTTGAGGTTGGGTGTTTTCTCTATTATTCTTCACCTTGTTGTCTGAGACAAGGTTCTCCCACTAAATCTTTTCAGCTAGACTGGCTGTCCAGCACACCCTGAGCTCCCCAAGTCAGCTAGACTAGCTGTCCAGCACACCTGGAACTCCCCAATTCAGCTAGACTGGCTGTCCAGCACACATTGAACTCCCCAGTTCAGCTAGACTGGCTGTCCAGCACACTTTGAACTCCCCAATTCAGCTAGACTAGCTGTCCAGCACACCTTGAGTTCCCTAGTTCAGCTAGACATAGAATGAGGGCTTCAAAAAGGAAAGGTTAGTTGTAGCCCATGGGCCAATCCCTGCCCGCCACCTGCTTGGTAAATAAAGTTGTGCTGGCACAAAGCCCCATTGATTTGCTTCTGTATTTTCTGTGGCCTCTTTCACACGGCAGGATTGAGCAGTTGACATGAAGATCATATGGTTAGAAAAGCCCAGAATATTGACTATGTGGTTCATTAAAAAAGAATGTACTGACTCCTAACCTAAAGTATTAGTGCTGGGCTCAGTCATGCTGGAGTTCAAATGGGGCTTCGGTTTCTTGTTAGCGGTGACATTGGGGAAGATGCACAGTCCCTCTATGGGTCTGGCATCTACTCAATGGGGATGATAAATACGGGCGGATTGAGTGCGACTGTCTTTATGGAAATCTACACCACGTGCCTGGCACCAAGTAAGTCTCAGTAAGTGGTAGCTCAGAGGGGCATTCACTCAGACGTCGAGCGAGTGTGAGCATGCAAGACAGCTCATCCTTCCACACAGCAGCTACTACCTATCAGCATCTGCCCTCCCTGAGCTTGCATTCTGCTGGAAGCAAGCAAGGGAAAAGAACAGGTTAATTTTAGACAGTGGCAAGTGGTGAAAATAAAGCAGAATGACATCGAATAAGATGACAAGCCTGGGACAGAAAGTGCAAGTGGAGCTAAGAGCTAAAAATAAGAATGAATCAGCAATACGAATACTCGCAGAGGCATGATCCTGGCAGGGGCAGCCAGACTCACAGAGTTCTAAGCCAGACGAGCGTAGGCTGGCTCCAGAAGAAGGGTGGCACTGAGGGAGGGGAGAGTGGCAAGGGGGCAGGTAAGGGATGACAGACAGGGGTAGAAGCAGGTGAGAGCCTGTGCCCTGGGGAAGGGGTACCGCTCAGAATCAGGAAAATCTGAGCCAGAGACGGGACTGAGTGAAAGCAGCCCTGTGGCGTCCTTTGTAGGAAGTCTATTCCTCCTTGATGCTGGCAAGAGTCACCGCTGGAGCCAGAATGAGCATGGGGCCTCACAAGCCCGCCCCCCCCCCCCAGCTCAGCCATCTCCTGGGGCTTTTCTCCATACAGTGCCCTAACTCATCTGACAAATCTTTAGGACAAGCCAGCAACTCTTTGAAATCGCTCTTTATCAGGAATCTTAGTGCTTCTCCAGGTAGAGCACTTAAGGGACTTATCAGTTAACGTAATCTTAAAGCTTCCAATAGTTTCCCCGCAACAGAAGACCACCAGATAAGCATTCATGGCTCTGGTTCCCCAAATTAGCATTTCTATTTTGTCTGAATCGCAGAACAGGCGTGAAGGGCCTACTTGATAATATTTTACCTGTATGAGGTTTAAAGAAAGCGTCAGATACCGTCAGTTACCCCAGCTGCCCCACAACCGCTAATAATAGCCCCGCAGTAGCCAGAGTCACAGAGAGCAACTGTACACTCTGCCTGGAAGGGACCGTGAGCTTTTATTGTTGCCGGGACAGAATGTCTGACAGAAGCAGTTCACAGAGACAGGGGCTGCTCCGTCCTGGCTCACAGCTGCGGAGGGTGCCTCCGGAGGGTGCCTGCGGAGGGTGCCCTTCACCCTAGGGAAGGTGTGGTATCTGACTGGTGGCTCAGCTCCTTGACAACTCGGTGCATCAGGAAGTGGAAATCTCAGTGGTGGAATGAAGCTGGGCTAAACATCTGAAGGCCTCTCCCATGGCTTACATTTAACAGCTAGGCCCTAGGTGCCACTAGTTCCAGAACATTCTTCAAAGCACCACCAGCTGGAACCCTGTGGGGGACGATTCACATTTGATCGCAATCCCTACCTTCTGATTTAGTTAATGTCTCCTCTTCTTTATCTTGTCTTCTTCTCCATCATCTTCACCACCCTCAGAATGACTCTTTACTGACGTATGGATGATCTGTTTTTTGTCACTATAACGAAGTACTCAAGGCAGGCTAATTTAATGAAGAAAAGAGGTCTAATGTCATTCAAAGTTCTGGAGGTGTAAGGTTAAGGGACCACATAAGGTCATGGCATCCTTGCTGGCAGCCTCCTGTGCTGTCACATGGCAAGAAACATGGAGGCTATGTGTGTACCTATGATCCCTTCCTGCGTCTTAAAAAGCTGCCAGGATCCAAGGGTGGGCTCTCCCTCTTGTTGCCTTATATAACCCTACTCACTTTGCTAAGGCCCTACTTCTAAATATCTAAATATTGTACTTCTCAAATACCCCCATCTCAATTACCATCCCGGAAAGCAACTGGGCCTGATTCCTGGATCAATTTTCTAGTTCTCTTAAAGGTACAATACAGTATCTATTATATATCAGGGCCTGTCTCAGAGACCTATGTTTTTTTCTTGGATTTTTGAGACAAGGTCTTGTTATGTAGCTCAGAATGGCCTCACAGTTAGTAATTCTCCTGCTTCAGCCTCATGAGTGTTTGGATTATATACATACCATATTTTAACTCTAAGCCCTTACAAGTATAAATTAGTATTATTATAAGCTTTGCTTTACAGATGCAAAAAGGGGAGTAAGTGAGAGAGTGAGGGAGGGGAGATTGGCAGTTATACGATAGACAGATGATAGACAGATGATGACAGAATTAAAAACAAATTGCACAACTGCATTGACATTAACATTCCTTCACAAAATACTGATATGTGGTTGGTCAGGCTTAAGTATGAGTTCAGAATAATTATACTTTTGGACATGTCTGAGCAGCAGCTATGCCTTGCTGTAATCCTAATTAATAACAGGATACATGTATGTGCCACCATGGTTGTAGAGTAATAAAGTTTGCCAGTCACATGTTGAGGTCAAGCAGTTGATTGTTCGGCTTAATTACAATCTGCCGAAGAGTCACTCTGGTTAAATACATGAGGTTAATTAGCTACATAGGCGATTTTATTTTAGGTATATTACCATTACTTAAAATTCACACAGTGTTCATGGGCTTGTCCCAGTTCTGTGGAGCTAGGAATCTAGTGAGTCTTACCTCTGAGAGGCTGAAATTCCACTCATTCCTGTGTTTGATCAATTGCTGAGGCGTTAGACAATCATTAATTGTTGGTTTAGACTGTATTTGTGCAATAGTTAATGAGCAAGTGAACTACAGATTTAGATGGGCTACGCTAAGGACTTCACTTGTATATGACCTAGAGAAAAACCAACCTCACTCGCAGTGACATCTATTCACCTACCCGTTGACTGAAGTTCCTGAGAATTCTACGATTCTTGTGTGTCATTTACACGTGACTCAGGGGAGTGTAGCAGAGGCCTGGGAGCAGAACTGCGGAGAGCCTTGGATGCAGTAACTGCAGTGTTGCTGCTAAGTGGGGGCACACCGTATCACAGACAGAAATCAGTGTGCAATGAGGTGGACGTATTCTTGTCCCGAGTGACTAGCTGGCTTTGTGATCCAGCAAGTGGTGGGGTGACAAGAGCGACCGGAGAGGGAACCAAACCTCAGTGTACCTACAACTTTGGATAAAGGAAAACCCATCCCCAGGATCTGCTTCTGCGTTCGGAGATGACTCTCTTACATGATGGGCGGCAGCAAGACTAGACCTGATGATATTTACATTTTCCTTTGTGTCTGATTTGCGTGATGAGATGCACACATTCTTCACCTTGAGTGGCAGTTGTTTGATGACTGACTCTACTTTGGAAACCTTTTCTTTGGGAAATTGGTAAGTTAAAAATCAAAGACATTTGCATAGAGCATGTTTCTAATGCCCAAGTTTCCCAAAAGAAAGGCTTTGAACTTTTCTCTGTTTTTGAAAGTAATAAAACCAAATTTTCTCAGAAGTACATTAGAAAAAAGTGTTGATTAAATTTGGTTGATCTTACTCTCAGACTTAATGATTGAAGTCCTAGTTTTCTTTGAACTCATCAGAAACAGAAAACATCCAAAGTAGTTCTGACCTTCTGATACGGAGAGAAGGATAGTGATAAGATCATCTCTGGCCACTTCTAGTTCTTCCTTTAAATACTTAAAGAGTCTTTTTGTAATTATTGGACCTAAGTGTGTTTAGCTCCCATCCTCAACTCAGCTTTTGTTCATTGCTGACATTCTCATCCAGTGGTTCTCAACTTGTGGGTTGAGACCCTTTTGGCAAAAAATATTTACATTATGATTCACAACAGTAGCAAAACTGTTGTTATGAAGTAGCAATGAAAATAATATAATGGTTGGGGTCACCACAACAGGAGGAACTGTATTAAAGGGTCACAGCATTAGGAAGGTTGAGAACCACTGTTCTAGTCCATGGCCTCCGGCCCCTCACCTTGTGTACTTGCTCACTTCTGGGATCCAGCACCTACTCTCATTACATTACTCTACTTACATTGCTTCCATAACTCTGACCAAGATGTTGCTGGGGTGTGGAGGCAACTTAGGGAAGAAAAGGTTAATTTGGGTTTCTTCTGATTCCAGAGAGATAGGATTCATCGTGGTGGGCTGGCAGCCAGAGCAGGAAGCTGAGAGCTCACGTCCTCAGCCACAGGCACGAGGGTAAATGAGTGAACTGGAGGTGGTGTAAGGCTTCCACATGAGATGAGCTTCCTCCAGCAAGGCCATGACAGCTAAAGCACCCACAACGATGCCACCGACTGGGGACAGAGTGTTCAGATGCCCAAGACTGTGGAACCATTTCTCCTTCACACTAGCGCTAAAGGCCAAAGCAGCTAAATTCAGATAAATGATGAGAAGAAAATGAGGATAGGGACCTTGATTAAGGCAAACTTTGACACAGAATAGAGAATATATTTAAGACATTTGAATACATTTTAGTGAGTTGGAATAGGGATAAGTTTTCGACATGGCCTGTGTTGTCTTTTTAAATGTTTGTTTTGGATGATGTGAGAAGAGGCTGCTTGAAAAGGCAAAGGGTGGCAGGATTAGACATGGGGACCCCAGCAGCAAGCTGCTCTGCCTCCCAGATATGCGATGGTGGCTCGGGTTAGGCTAGAGTAGGAGGAGAGAGAAAGAGATGAGTGATGTATTCTGGGTAACTCAGGAGAGAGCACAGATGGGGCTTCGTGTTGGGTGGTTCTAGGAAGAAGTCTAAAATGTTGCCTGTGTCCCAGGTCTGATAAGTAGAGTGTATGGGGTGGAACCGAGGAGAACCTTGAGCCAGCAGAAGACGTGGAGAGAAGTGTATTCAGTGGTAGAAACGAATTCAGGAGGGTGTGGCTTTTTGCGTCAATGGAAGGGGGTTTTCCTTATACTCAGCTTCAACTTGCTCCTTAAACTCCGAACTCAAGCAGGAGTTGAAAAGATTATTTGGAGGTATTCTGTTCTCCTAGGCACCTTCTGAGACCAGGTGCCTAGTCTCCATTTCTGTCAGCATCTTACATTCACCAGAAAGCTTACCTAGTATCTTTCAAGGACAAATGGCAAGTTTCAGAGACACAGTCTTAACAATACTTAGGAACCATTTTTCCTAAACCAAGCGCCGTCTTAAGAGGTGCAATGACCTGGTTCTGAGCAAAGGTGAGGGCACACCTGCGTGCTGGCATGTGCAACACTGGCTCCTTAGAGCTCCTCAATTTCTTCACCCCAGATTAAGGCCTTTGCCTTAATCAGCCCAAACAGAATTGCCACTGATTGTTCTGGAGATCAATTGGGCTGTTCCTTTCTCTCCCCACATGCTTGGTGGGATTACTATAGCTAGTAAAATATGAATAGGCTGATATGTAGATGCAGAGACAAGGTCATCTTTCCCTAGTCTTGGCAATCAGTGAGGTGCCTGTCAACACATAATTTCCTTCTGCTTGGCTCACCCAGTGATCTTCATGAGCTCAGCCCTTGTAAGAACCATTTGCCAATATACATGCAGAATCGGCTTATATTAACCTCTGTTATTTTAGCACTTGGAGTCACTTGTTGCTGCAGTATAACTCAGCTTATCCTGACTGACCTAGAGGCATTCTTGCCAGAAAACAAACTTGAAAGATTTATGTGAACTTTGGAATTTTGGAGAAAAATCTTTGTTGGAATCCAAGCTCAAGAGACAGGATTCTCATTTATGGCCCTGAGAATTCCACAAGGAATACGATTCCCAAGTGCAGGGTTTTCCACCATAGATCTTTGGAGACCAGAACTCTCAAAGAATTATGGTTATATCCACAGCACATCTTTACTCGGTATAATGATGGCTGCCATTGAGGAAATCCCACCCATGGTTCACGCTGTGCTAATGATTTTGTATACATTATTTCCATTCTCAAATAATACAAAGACTAAGCGAACATTAGAGAATCAACAACCCAGGTGGGTGAATTGGGGGTCAGAGAGGGGTAAAGCAGGGGCACATCCAGTAGGGGAAGGAGGCTCTTTGTCTCCACATCCCTCACAGAACGTTCAGACTTTCTGCTATAAGGGTGTGTGCATGCGCGTGTGCGTGTGTGTGTGCCAACGCTCTGCACTGTTCAGGCTGAGGGTCCTCACAGAAGAATCTGTTTTCTCAGGCTAAGGACAACACATCCCAGCCCTAGTTACCAGACTATGTAAGATTTATGGCCATGTGTTCTAGAGCCAGACATCAAAGTTCGCGCGGGGTCCCGCCACTTAACAACATTCACTTGACCTGACCTTCCCTCTGTGCCTCAGTTTCCCTCTCTGGAAGTAGATGTGTAAGTAGTTCCTAGCCTGTGTGGCTGTGGGAAGGACAGGCTCCCCCATTTTAATTTTGAATAGCAGATTCTTTCTCCTTCCCCCTGCCACCCCCCCCCCCCCATGCTCTTCCTCATTGAGGAAATGATGGGTCAGGCTTCCCTGCAGCTAGTATTTTGCTCATAGGAAGGCCAGACAGTGTTTAAATTGCCGAGAGAGGGAAAGGCAGGCTCTGGTCCTCTTGCTGGGTGGTGGCTCTGTGGTTTGGACGCCTCTTGGCAGCCTGCTTCCTGTGTTCTAGTTGAGCGTCTCTCCAGGCTTTGGGGACATAGTGATTTGTGTTCCTGCTAATGTGGGTTGCCTCACACAGCAATCTCGGGATCCTTCTAAGTGGTTCTCTGTGTGAAAGTGCCCTTCTCGAGCTCTCTGGCATGGACTGTGTTTTCCTAGCTGCTCTGAGGCTGAGAGGTCAGCCTGACACAGTGGCTACAATGTGCTCAGGACTGTGCTCGGCATGTAGCAAGTCCTGGAGAGAGGGACATTACAGAGTGGCTGTTCTGCCCACCAGCTCTTGCACTGCTAATGTGCCCCAGGTAGGCCCCTGGGGACATCAGAGCTGCAGAGCCACTGCCCACTCCTCCTTCCAGACTGCTCACAGCGTTAGACCTGTCTATCAGCTCTTACCTAATCTAACAAGGCGAGGGAGATGCAGACTCCACCACGACATCCGTATCAAGTGTCACAATTTAAAGTTTTCAAAGAGCTGCAGCTTACAACACCTTGCTCACTCTGGTTCTGACTTTCTTCTACTCCTCCTCTGCAACTTCGTTCTTCCTTAGTCTCACTGGCCTTGGTTCAGATCTCCAGCTGTCGTCCCTCTGGGCTTTGGAATGTTTCTTTGGCTTCTGGTCAGGTATTTTCTGTGGTCTTTTTTCAGGAAGGTCATTTTCACCGTGGGCAAGTGTGGAACCCTTCACCTAGAAATGCTCTCTGAATGTTACTAGGATTTCTGGTTTGCCTGGGATTCTCAGTTCTGTGATGCTCATCGTATGATTTAGGTGAGACAGAGTAGCGCATAGATAAGCAAAGGTGATTATAGAACAGGAGGCGACTCCCAAGGCTGAGAGTGAACATGAGCAAAGAGGCCATCGAGGAGTTCTGACATGGATCCTGATGTCCTTCCTTTATCTTTTCTGTTTGTTTGTCACCTCTCATCCTTCTTCCCACTCCTGTTTGTCAAGGTCCACTAAACTTTCCACTCTCCAGGACCAGACCATGATGACTTTTCAGTTTCTACCACCGTCCCTTACCTAGACAGGGGAATGCTGCAGCGGATGAGAGGGCCCTCATCTCGGAAGCACAGTTACATCCCTCAGTTTGCTTCTCAGTGTCCGGGCTGTGCTGAATTCTGCCCCCTATCCCCCGCTTTGGGACAACTTTCCTCTCACACCATCCAGCTGAACTTCCAGCGAGAAAGTGGAGCTCTCTTGAGCTTGTCTTGTTGCCAAGAGACCCCAGTCAGGCAGCTTCTTGTTCTTTCTGTGTTCTATCACAAACTGCAGCTGCTTGGCGCAGCTAAGTCTGGGTATACTGAGCAGAGAGGAAATAGCTTTCATTCCGTAAGCGTGAGCTAGCTTGGCTTTTTAAAGACACACTAGCTAATTTCTCTATTACCGACTGCTCGCCCTGCTTGCCTGTAGACAGCTTCTCTTTTACAATAAGTCACCACCCGGAGGCCCAGCTAGTGGCTGGTGGCCTTGGAGTCCACCTAGTCTCTGCCTTGTTTTCTTCCTGAATTGTAAGTCTTGTCCCTCACCCTATCAGCTCGGCACTATGCTATGCCAGGTCAGGGTTCCCCAAACTCTGACCATTGCTGGCGGGTCAGAGGGCCACACTGAAAAACTGTTGCGCCAACCTGCCTTGCCACGTGGACCTTCCCCCATTCAGCGTATGCAGTCATTAACGTTGGCCTTGTGCACCTTAGGCTAGGCCATTTTCTTCCGCTACAGTTGGCTTCAGTATTGGGGACTTTCGTTTGCCTCTGTCCGTCTTCTCGTTCTTAAAGGAGGCTCA